AGGAATGCTGTTACCTGGCTGATTTGATACACAAATGTTAAAAATGCCTTGGTTGAAGTGTAGAAAGCATTGCTAACATGTTGGTTTTGAGCTTTACCTCCAATTTTGCCTCTCTGCTGGGATTCAGATCTTTTGTGCATAACCTAATATCTGCACGCAGTTTATGTAGAGCAAGATTCTTGGTCAATTCACACATACAAAGATGAAAAATCAGAGGCCCTACCAATCTATACGTACTCACTTTGTTTCATGATGGCCCTGATATTAGAGAAAGCTGAAAAGCATTTTGTCTTGCTTCTTAATTTCCATCTCCAAATGACTGATGGTTTAATCATATTGTATTTGACAATAGTTGTTTTATCTTTGACTGCATTTCCCTGCATGTATTCTCTCATCTGCATGCTTGACGATAAGGGGGACAGTTTCAGACATGTTTATACTGATGTGGAAACCACTTATAAACTCAAAACTTTTTTGTGAACTGTAAATACAGTTGTCCCAAGCTGAGCAGAGGATGAACAAGTTGGATCAGTGCTATTGTGAAAGGACGTGCACAATGAAAGGCATGACTTACAGAGAGTTTGAGTCCTGGACAGATGGCTGTAAGAACTGCACTTGCATGGTATGGCTACAGTTTGAGTGGAGACTCCGGAGCTCTAGTGTTTCCTCTAATTACAATTTTATTGATGCAAATAATGAGAACTTCCAGGGGTTACGCTAGGTAGAAACAACAAAGTGCTAGAAAACCTGTTCTCAATCTAACGTATAGTACCAATAAATACGTTTTCCTGTTGTTTCAGCAGTGCCAGCACGTGTGGCTCTCCTACATTTCAGGTCACCGTGCGTGGATGCTGTGCAACATACTTAGCTATCATGTGTTCCCATGCACTGAGGTGCAAACGGTTTCTCTGGGTAATGAATTCCCTGCTTTTTGTCACAGCCTTTTTCTTGGCAAATGATTTAATAGATCCCTTGTATCTGATCCCCTTTGGTTGCCTTTGGTTACATCTCAATAAGTAATAAAGAGTAAAATGTCAGGGTCATATGCATGCTCTGTTATATCACAAATGAAAAAGATTTGTTAGGTGGATGGAAGATTCCCAAAGGTATCACAACTCCAGAAGTGATTGCAAGTATCCTTTCAAGTACCAAACTGTGGCATCTTTGTTAATGTGCATTCACGTAAAACTCATTAATTCCATTTGAACTCATTAAATGCCTAATCCAAAGGGCATTAGAAATTGGTGAAAAGGCTGCTGTTGTCTGTACTGCAGCTTAGATTGATTTGCTCCTATCTATAACTTGTTAAATGCTTCTCCTTAAGCTTAGTATGATTTTGATCTTTATATTTCTGGAGGGATATTAATTTTGCTTTTAGTGTTTTGTGGCTGACGAAAAGAAGACTTAGCCCATGGTATCAAATCTGACTGATAGCTGTTTAAAATTCTTTGAATTTAGTGTTAAATGCAGTATGTATTTTTGTCTCCGATTTTTCTTGCAGCTGTGGTATTATTACCTTTTAGAAATGTATTGTCTCGTGTAAAAATCAGAAGACAGAGTATTGTTCCATGAGGTTGTTATTTTACACTAATCTGTCAATTTGCTGCTGATTGGCAGAATGTTTTACCTCCAAATAGATTTGTCTCTAAAAAAAATAATAAAATTTATCATTATAATCTCAAAGAACACATCGTACATGTCTAAAAGATTGTATGCATGATATTCTAAGGGTATAGCTTCTGTTCTTGTAGTTATTAAAAGAACAATGTTAAAATGTCTTCTTGGGTGTTGTTAGAGAGTTCATTGCATTTAAAAATAGATTTTCAAGTTCCTGTGTTTGAGAACATCTGTGCTCTTGCTAAGTGTAACCACCTTTTATTCTTCTAGAACGGCACTGTGCAGTGCGAGGCTTTGATTTGCCCGCTCTCTGACTGCCCGCTTAACTCTGCCCTGGCCTATGTGGATGGCAAGTGCTGCAAAGAGTGTCAATGTAAGTTTTACTGTGGTGCTTCCTTCTAACGACTATTTTGAAATCCATAAAAAAAAATGAACCTTTCTGTAAACATGTCAGTGAAAGAACTGGTCAGGGAGTAAAATATGTGGGTTGAGGAATCAGGGAGCTTAGGCTTCTCTGACATATTTTGGGAAAATGATAACCAGAAAGTTTTAATTTTTCAGGTGTGAGTATTTTGAGTTTTATTTTAGTTATGGGTTGTTGTTTTTTTTTTTAAGCATAGATATTTCTTACTAATGTTTAAAAAGAAAAAAAGTTATTAAAAAACCTTTCTGCAGACTTCCATAGTCTATCTTTTAGATCAAACTGCTAGAAATTCAAGAGCAATTGCCTGGTGTTTGTTTTGACCAGTGTTTCTAACTGCTCTGTCGCAAGGAGACTGTACTTTCACCCTTATGTTGTAGTGCTAGCAATGAAAGTTCAGATTTATGATTATTCTTCTGTAATTAAGGGAAGAGAAAACTCGTACTAGACCCAAGAGACCAGCAAAACCCAGACACCTAGAAATGTTCTTTCACGAAAGGTCAGACAGGATTATACAGAAAACTGGATAGAGGTAATTTAATATTGTCATTTAAGATGGGTGATTACCTTTTGGTTTTATAGCATTTTGATTTTGTTGCAAATAGGGCCAGAGAAGGGGAATTTTAGGTTAATCACTATCTAGATGGACTATATATGATATTTCAGGTTGATTATGGCTGTGTATTGCATATGTGATGGTTATTTATTTTAGGCTACGGTGGGATACATTCTTGAAATTGAACATGAGATGCACACACTTCTTCTGTAAATGTTGAGATTTTTCTGTGTGGTTTCATAGCTCTTCTACTGCTGTATAAAACTTCTTACAGAGTATAGAGAAATATAACTGGTTAAAATGACATGTTGTAAGATAAAATTCAGGAAGACGTTTTGTACTCCATTGATCTTGCTCCCACAGGAGTTTATTAATATTTAATTGTGTTAGAAGTTACACAAACCATCCCATTTCATGAAACCTTATTAACTTACTCAAGTAGATTAATTCTAATTGAGAGGAAATGAGAATTCAAATGCTTTTTTTTAACCAGCTCCACAGAATTTCCATGCATATTAGATGGCTCAGGGAATTGGTAATTCAGGGATGTGAGATGTGTGGAGTTCAAGCCTCTGTTTGAATCTTTGACCATGTTGGCAGAGTTTGAAAACCTGATCCTCTGAAGTATGGTTTTGTAATGTACTGCCTATGAATTGCGTTGGGAATTCTCCATGAAGACATCAATGGGGAAGCGCTCCCATCATATGACTTCTTACGTGGTTGTTTTTATTGGGCATCTTGACAAAGAAACGTGAATGGACATACGGACACTGACCTTGTCAGACAGCATCACTACTTCTCCTTCCAATTAAGATACAGTTCTGGTACAGTGCACTGTGAAGTTTACTCTGATACTGCCTTTTTGATATTTTTAGTATTATCAAAAGCCTGTTAGCTTCCAGTGCTGTTAATTTGATGCCAGTACATAATTTAATTTGTAACTAACATGCACACATATATAACTCTCTTGACAAACTATCAGGAAAAATGATTAGATCAAAAAATATAAATAAAAATTGCTTTTGAAAAATTCTTCCTAATTTCATCTAGGTTATTTAAAGTGCATTTAAAAAAAAAAAATCAAACAACTTTTAAAGTGGCCAAATCCCTGGAACCAAAGGACAGAGAGTGTAAATTGGAGTCCCACTGACAAGTAGTTGAATTCCAGTGAAAGTGTGTTAAGAGTGGAGGTTAGAGGCAATGAAGACTGCAGGACCCTCGCTTATTCTCCAGGCCAGTTTGGTGGAAATGCTGAGAGAGAGAGCGCTGTGCCAGCTGTATCCTCTCTTCTTGCTGTCTTGAGCTCGAAGTCTGAGGTGATGGAGATCAGTGCACTCAGTGACCATGGTTCTTGCTCGAGGGGTCAAAGCTGAGTTCCTCCATTTGGATAGGTTCTGAGAATAACTTTTTTGTTTTCAATTCTTAGAACAGTATCAGAACATCTGACTAGATTATGTAGAGCGAACACAGATGGCTTATAATTGGGAAAACAGCTAATTAGGGTGTGTTGCTCAGGGAGCCACTACCCGTAGTATTGGACAATCAACCATAAATGCTGAGAAAAAGTGATGCCTAATACACTGTTCTTCAGCTGGGTTTCATATTTGTTTCCAGACGGAACATATATGGGTATCTCTGTTTCCTTCCTGGTGTTTGTGGTACCAGATGATGGGTTGTTCCTGCCACACGGTCGGGTAGGTAGAGGTGCCCAGGCGGTGGTGGCTGTGGCAGCCTTCTTGCCGTGGCTCACCCAGGACTGGGTGCTTCCCTCCACACTTCTTCCTTCCTTCTGCTGACATTCCAACAAAGCCACCAAAAATGAACAGAGCGGGGTCAATCGGACAGCTGGCATAGAAGAGTTAAAGTGTACAGCACTTAAGGCTTTTACAGCGACCAGCAAGCTGATGTCCCAGGGTTTTGGTTTTGTTTTGTTTGTTCTTTTCTTCTTCCCCCGCCCCTCTCTGAGTGATTGAGGATGGATTCATTCTGCATGGCTTTAGGCATGTAGAATTTGGGAATATATTCTGAAGTGGCTTCACTCATACTAGTAAATAAAATAAGTCAGGGTCAGTCCTGCGGCCCTGGGGCTAGGTGGCACTTGTGGCTCATGTCTGCATGGCTGAACTCGCCTCCCCTGCTCCCCGAGAGCATCTGCACCCGGACGGCTGGCGGGGAACGGCTGCTCCTCAGAGCTGCGCCCCGGTCGGGCCTGGCGTTGCTTCAGAGCGCGTTGGCTGGTACCGGCCAAAACGGTGCCATGACACGTGCTAACGCTCAAACTGCATGGAGGATTACGGGCTGTAATCAAGGGTTTTCAAGGCTGTTGTCATTTACTGTTCCATTTTCCTGTCATGTTTCATTTACCCGTGATGGACATCCCCCATGAGGCTTGCGTGATAGCCAGGGAAAGGGTCTGGCAGCTCCAGAGGGCACTCGGTGCTGAGGGGGGTGGGATGGCCGGGATGAATTGCCTGTGGAGGTGGACATCTCTTTCCATGGACCCTATAGAGAGCCCAGGCGATTAGATTAGATACGGAACTTCTAGACAGGTAAAGTTATGAGGCTAATCTTTCCATCAGTTACTGTAATGAATATCGGGTGTGTCAGATAAGAATGGGAAGTGCTGGATTTTTAAGCCTGGTTCTGACGTTAAGCAGTTATGCTAAGAGGCTTGTGCGAACCTACCACACTGCCAAGCCCCAGGAACTGAACTTCAGCCCAGCCCAGCAGTTACATATTGGACAGTGCAGCTTTGTCATGTCCCGTTTGATGACATTTTCAACACTTCAGAAATTCCAGCACAACAGACTCTTCATGTTTTTCTTCAATGTTTAGTTCAGGGAAGAAGACTTAGTAAGGAATGGTATTATTTTTTTTTTAACCAATATTGCCTTGACTTGGTTTCTTCTTGTGAGCCAAAATAAAAAACCAAACAACCATAACTCCCCCAAACCCTGATCATCTTCCCTAACTCCGTATCTTTGTTTGAGGACATTCAGGCAACTTGTTCTGTTTTGTCTTGTGTGAAGGTTGGCGCTGGTAGCGTAAGGAATGGCAACGCACACAAATTATTGTGTTTTCTATTCGCTGTAATGGGCTAAAAGAAGCAATGGTCTTCCAAGGCACATAAATTGGCCGGTGTGTTGGATATATGTTTCAGCTGCAGACAAGCTATTTAATGCAAAATTCAGTTCAGCTACCAGAGTGTCCGTCTTAGATCAATGAGAGCTTCCCGTGGAGAATTGTTTGGGGCTGGAGAGCAGAGACTACTTTCTTTTCTATTCCCAATGCAATTTTAAACCTATCTGAGAAGGTATGTGCAAGAGATCGTTCAATTCTTTTCTCCTCTGTGGAGACAAATGCATTGTGTGGTGATAGGCACTGATACGAATCGGGGGGAGATTAAGCTCCCCTACTGACCCTATAAAGTATTGCTTTAGACCGTGGACTTGGCTTAAGAAGTACAAGGACGAGTTCATTTATTTTAAGTGAATTGTGGAAGGATTGCCAATGTCTTAGTAGCTGAGACAATTGTTACTTGGTCAGCAAATCTTTTTATGGTAACGTTTTTATTAGTTGGTATATTAACACTAAGACATCACTTCCAATAGCTATGTGATATATGCTTTTTATTTAAACGGAGGCAGTGTATTTTTAACAAACTAGCTGATTTTCATTTTTTTAAGGACAAAAGTGATATTTCTACCAGTATCTCATACAGTAATAATCCCCATCACCAAAGACTGATCTCCAGGAAGAACTTGCACTCTTCTCATTGCTGTTCTCCTCCCAGTGACACTGCAGATACTTACCGACCTAGTCCCAAACTGTTTAAATTTGTCCCAACAGATTTCAGTGGAGGTTAAAGTCTGAACCATTATGTTCAAATCTGTAGGCTGTGATTTTTCCACGCACTTGTTGTTTCTGAAACAGGACATTTGATGGTTTTTGGTTGCGTTGTAGCCAGATCTGTACTCTAACACAAGTATTTTAAGCAACTGGGAGAAGTGTAGGGCTGTACTGGATCAACTCACACTCCTGTTGCTGGCAGGTGTGGACAGAGAGTGTGTAAAGGGGTTATAGAACTTGGAAAGGGTTTTTGAACAAAATAATTAAAACACAAATATGGACATGGTAACTCTTAGAACATGCATGGGTGTCTGATGCAGTGATCTGTCTTGCTAGCTTACAGAAGCTTCTAATTTTATAATTACAATTAAGGGGATTTCCCCTCTTGCTCATCGTGATGCACTGATTTTTTTCCCCAAAGCTACACACTCTTCTGCAAGCTCCAGCACTTGTAGGCTACTGGCAGAGAGAGAAGAAGCTGTAAAAGCCCACTGCTCCTCGTTTGGACAGCAATTGACCATCAGCAAAAGTGCAAAATTTTTGTCTG